TATATATATGTGTGTGTGTGTGTGTGTGTGTATATATATATGTATATATGTATTTATCTCTCTTATTTTAGAATAAACTAGAATTAAAACAGTGTAGCTAAATAATTTATGAATAATGGTAGTCAGTAGCGCACGATTCCCATTTTCGTTATTCTGATCACCATTTGGTGCTTCTGAGTTGTGTGGTCACACTGATTTTATGTGAACGTCCGCACACAATATCAAATTTCTAGTGAGAAATAAGTGTGATATGCGCATATTTGGGCGTTATAATACATCACAATTCCCTTATATGGGCACATCACAAAATGCTGTCATAAACTTTTATAGTGGGCAGAGCTTTATTAATAACAATAATAATAAATTGCCATTTATATAAGCGCATCCTGCGTGGACTGCCTCTATGCGTTTAATTACCAACTAAAGAAGATATAAAACGAAGTATTAAAATAAAGGGAATAAATGTGTAGTGGTAAACAGTGCACGGTCAGCATCCACCTCTGCTGTGGCGTAATCCCAGACCTCTACCTAGGTGATGCGAACAAAAGAGCAGGGTACACATAATTGCCCTGCCACAAATGAATGGGTGCTGAGAGTAAGCGAGCAAATATAGTGGCCCCAAGACACAATGCAGGGACACCAAATACATGAATTAAAAAAAGTCAAAAAAGGAATAACAAAAAACATTAAATGTTTTATCGTACCTGTTGGACAATTACCGGGATTCACATTAATACAACTAAGAGCGATCACTCCACTTCCAGAATTTCCAATTACGGCTTCAATGACAATCTGTTGGAATAGTTAAGATTTATCGATAGAGATTTTTTTTCAATCAAATAGAAAAAGTTTGTTTTTAAATTTTTAATAGCTTAAATTCATTTACAAATAATCATGTATACGTGACAATTAAATGTAGTATTCTGTAAATGAAATAAAAAAAGTAATTCACAGGAAATTGACAAAACAGAAAGAGATTTTTCGTTTCTACCCATTCCAGGAAAGTAAAATTCGAATAGTAAACCAGGTCTTGCAAAGAAACATAATAACAGCATTCTACTCTTTTTAGAATATGATGCATGGAAAGATTCATGAGTAGTAATAACATGCATTACGAACCGATAGGCAAGACTTGGATATATCTAAGGAGCCCACTCTACTTTCACCTAAAGATTCAAGAGTCCAGGACCAAATGTGTATCAGATAGGTCATAAGGTCACCGGTAGACCTAACACCTCGGAAACCATACTGATGGTCAGAAAGTAAACTGTTCCTTTCAAGGAAGTAAAGGAGTTTCTCTACAATGATAAATTCCATGACCTTATAGAGAGGTGATGGCAAAATGGGCGATAGTTGGATGGGATGGATTTTTCACCCTTTTTCGGGGATAGGGACCACATGGGCAAGTTTCCAGGATGAAGGAAAAATGCCAGAGGAATATGAAAATGCAAATAGTATATTTAGAACAGGCGATAGTTCGGAAGTGCAACTTTTGAGAACTATGGCAGAAATGCCGTCAGGGTCGGTAGACTAATTTATGTTAAGGTGATGAAGAGCTTTCTTGGCTTGACGAGTACATAACTTGATTGGAGCCACTGCCATACTTACATAAAACATTGTTGATGTAGAACTAAAATCAACATACTGAACTGTCCAATCTCCTGTGATATCTGAAGTCCCCCAAATTTGTGTCCACATATTATCTTCTATAATATATGTATTCAAAACTTGGGGAGTTTGTTGAATAATGTAGTTAATCTGTAGACACTGACTACTACCAGCCACAATTTCGGGTGTCTGAAGTCGAGCTTTCTGTCCAACCTGTCTATCTTTGGCTCTGATATAAATATATGACTCTTTACCTAGAAGAATCCAAATAGATATTTATTATTAAAGAGAACCTCTTATAAATGTTGCCTTGGGTTAATGACACACATCCTGCACTACACATACACACTGACGGGATATGAATCCCGCCAGAGACACTCTTGTCATAAACTGAAACAAAGAAACTTTACGTTGATGAGCTATGCTTGATACGATTATGACAACATGTTCCCACACGCAGTGGCGTATCTAGGGGTGCGCGGGGTGGGGGTCGCACGTTCCCAAAAAAATTAATTCCCCCCCCCAGTCGTCCCCCTCAAAAAATCACGGTCAAAGTAGTTAGAAATCACCTTATTTTGCGAATTAGCGCCCCTCAACTGATAATCGAGTCCCAATTCACTTTCGCCCCCACCTCCCAACATCTGCTCCCCTATTTCAAGACTCCTAGATACGCCACTGCCCACATGAACACTATTATTATTTATTTAATAGTTTATTGCATGATTTTAATATAGGCATATATATATATACTCTTATATATATGGCCTATATATATAATACATATATATACATATATATATTTATATATATATATATATATAACATGTATCGTCTTGCAGTAATGCTTTATACGTATACACTATTATAGTTAGAGGTCTATATATATATATATATATATATATG